TTTATCCTGTTCGGCCCGCGACCTAAAGTGTGTTTTGGATTTTGGCCCCCTGTGCAATTGAGTTTGACACCCCTGCTCTAAAGAGTTTCACAAAAGGTGCATTCTGTTTATAACTGATTTGATATAGGGTTGTAATATTAAGTATTTTGTATTTTGCATCTGTTTTCTACAGGTAAATGTCACATTAGCATTACTGAGACATGCAAGATAAAGAATTAGGAGTTGAAAAGTTGCATCTTCTATGTCCTGCATCTACACCAGTTGCTTTGTGTCCAATAAAGTTTTGAAATGTACTAAGAATTTTATTCATTTCAGTAACAGTGGCTAGAGAGCCAGTTTGGTGTAGTGGTTAAGGTGCCAGGCTAAAAACTGGGAGACTGAGTTCTAGTCTTGCCTTAGGCACAAAGCCCCCAGGTGACCTTGGGCCAGTCACTCTCTCTCAGCCCTAGGAAGGAGACAACGGCAAACCGCTTCTGAAATCTTGCCAAGAAAACTGCAGAGACTTGTCTAAGCAGTCACCAGGAGTCAAAAGCTGACTTGAAGGCACCTCTGCCCACCAAAATAGCTAAGCCTAATGGTATTTAGAAGAACTACAGTCTAACTTACTTGATAATTTCCTAGGAAAAAACACAACTTAACATGCCAGTTATTTTATTATTTATGCAGTGTTAATCAACTTACATAGCATTTATAAAATTATGTTTTAAAGCCAGTATTAGACTTAGTTCAAATATTTAACCAGACAGGTGTAACAAAAAGCACCCCAACATTTACAAACGATATGTCCAATTTCCATCTTATCTATGTATAGATACAAAACCCAGCTCTAGTTCTTCTAAAAATTATGTGAACATACAAAGAAACAATTTGAAAATATTAAACAGACATAGAACGTATTGATATTGAATAGTATGACAAAAATGTTTTATGAGAAAAGTACAATGATTGAAGGTAAGCCTACATATACACATAGACATATCCTAGAGCGTAAAATGTTGTATTTCATTCAAAATCATATTTACTATATCATATGGGAGTCAAGATAATGATAAACACTTTATCCTGAAAAATCAAACAAGTTAAGGAGTTCTTTAATTTATATTTTATTGATATATTTAAAATCCAAAGGCAGGGATCGGGAAGAAATACAGCAAAGAGGATTGAATAGCATATAAAGGTTGTGTCTGCATTCTGCAATGGCCAAGCATTAAGATTAATGTTTTCTTATTCTCCAAATATCATAATATAGCTGGAGAGTTTTCAGAAAGAGACAGAAGTGTGTGTTTGTGTGTGTATGTGCATGCACCAGCAGCAAAAGTAATTTAAAATAGTTGAACCATCACAAACATTAAATTCTAGTTGCAGATGTGCTAGGAAGCCTTTTAAAAATATGCATTAGTTCAACTTCCAATTTTATATAAGGTTCCCAGTGTTTCCATCCTATTATTGATCAGGTCTGCACTTTTTAAAATTGAGTGACTCCGAAAATATCTGTTATTTCCCAAATCATTAACCATTCATTTCCTGGGAGATCTTCTCAACAAAGATATAATGAAACGGTTTTATTATAGCAAGATTATTTTCTGAATCCTTACCCCCAAAAATAAAAAAATAAAAAAATCTGATGTCTGATGATTAGATCATTAACATTTTGTAATACTTTTTTTATAATTGTTGCAAACCTTTTTATAGATATTTATAGTGAAACTGGTAATTAAACAATAAATAACCTTTTGTCTAATTATTAAAGAAACAAAATATGGCTGCACAAATATACAGAATTGAGTAAATAAAAGCTCTCAAAACATAACTGTAAATGAAATACAATACATAATACAATGTATTACTAACCGGAATGTCTATCAAGACTACAGTTCCTCACTATACACTGTGAAACATTCAGATATATCTGATCACTACTGAGAGCTGCTTGGATATCCTCCAGATCTTTACATATCCAGTAAAATATGTACCGAACATATTTTACTGGATATGTAAATATCCTGGATAGCCATACTGGATATGTTCACAATTCAAATATTTTCTTGTGACTGATTTATCTGGTTTATTTCAAGCAATCAGGAAAACATTCAAACTGACTTGATTTTTATGACACTCAAAACACAGGATTCATTAGCACTTGCGTATCAATTTTAATGAATAAACATGATGGCAGGCAAAATTAACGCCTAAACATTTTGGCCTTAGTAAGGATTCCTACATGTGCTAAGCTGATATCACTATGCCATATCAAATACTCCCACTCACTGTTTTCAAATATAGGTCCAAAAAACAAGTCAGACATTTACAGAAGTTACCGTAAACTTAAACAAATCCAGTATATAAATTCAGAGATCTGATGTCAATTATGCCAAGCACGCATCAACTGCAGTTCTTCACTTTGAAATTAAAGTTTTATAAAACCAAATTTCACTTGAAGATTCCTTAAACATTTGTTAGCTATAATTTATCTAGTATTGATTTTTTTAAAATGTCAAACACTGAAAAAGAGCAATGTTTTCTGCTGGCAACAAATTGCATACTGCAACTTTCTAGTTGTGTATATATAGAAAAAAGGATATACAGTAACCCCACACAGAAAATACTTAGAACAGCCCTATTTGTGGTTCTGTATATATCGAAATGAAGTTACTGAAATCGTACAGTAGGAATCTCTCAAATTTGAACAGAGACATAAACCAAGTGGCATAAGCAGAGATGCAAAAAATGTTTTTACATTTCAGCTTTTACTCCCAAATAAGACTTGTTCTTTGCATCACCTGATATCTAACTTTCCAATTACATCAATAAAACTCATTCTTGTGCAGCAGTTTCCCTATCTTTAACATGCTTTAATACTTTTTATTCAGGTTTTTTCCCACATATCCAGCTGTTATTACCTTGTGTCATAATTCTAAATGTTTTCGCTTGGTATTTATTATGGAAAACCTCCTTTACTTAGGAAAACCACCTTACTGTTTTGACATAGCAGTACTTAAAGTGATTCCACAGAGAGTGATCTCATAGAATCAACCATTATCTGAAATCACCTTTTACTTTGATTTCCTTTGTTAAATTTGAAGTGCAAAGATGGCAGCAATCTATATTCCTACAGGGACTTAATTTGTACTGCCTAGAACTGTATTTTCCTCTTGTTTGTAATATGGTTTATTCCTCTGAATAATTTGAGGCTTGAATAATTTGTGTTTAAAATACAGTAATGCATTTTTTGTTTGCTTCATTGTTGTGCAGACCTTACAACCCCTGAGCACACCCTCAGTCTCATCCCTTGCATTCACCATTATTTGTTCCAGAATCAGATGCCTGTTCATCTAAACGCTAATTTCTACTACAAGGTCCCAAACTTTTACCAATCTAGCTTTAATCTCTTCTTCTTCAATATACTCTTTTGAAACAAAGCCATTCAACCCAGCCAATGAAAGAAATATATACACAAGTTGAAAAGGAGTGCATTTGTTTTTACAGTAAAGGCAGCCAGAAGAACCAGCACAGAGGATAGGCAATAATAACCCTAACGTTTACAGAAGGCAGTTCACAAGGAGTATTTCATCGCATTTGAGGATCTTATGAGATCTGGCACCCGGTGTCTTTTTGAGGCTTTATATCTGGTTCTTTCAGAGGTTTCACTTCTTCCTCTGGCTTTGGTTTAGCCTATAAATAAAAGGAAAGTAGAACAATGATGTTGCATTTGGGATATGATAACGTTATATGAGACTTTTTAAAAGCTTGGAACAAAGCTTAAGCTTTTCAACATACAGCCTTTGATAAAAGACAGAAATACTCAACACTGCAGTCCTGCCCTTCCAAGGCATTCTCACCTTCCCCTCCATCCCAACATTTCTCCTCTCCTGAATAAAAAAGAACCAATATAAAAGCTGAACATTACAGATAACACTGGTAAAGAAAGCAACCTGTTTGTGGTCTTACACTGTCCTCCTTTGGCCTTTTGGTGAGATCAAATGCGGCAAGGCTTTCTGGGGACCACTGGGCATGCACAGCCGGAAATTCAAAAGCAATAGGCTCAACTAGACCATAGTTTGCTTTCAGCTCAAGCTGGGGAGCCTCTGGAGGAATCTTTTGGAAGTAACTAAAAGAAAGCAATTTGAACGTTAGCAGTCTCCTAGTTCTTTTCCATGTAATTCTGAATAGGCTAGGAATGATTAATGCCACACATAGCTTGCATAATTTAATTGCATGCAATTCACAATCTGCACTGCACTTTCACCAAAATGGCAGGTGCTAAACACAATGAAGATTATTTTTATAGCCATATGTACAGACAAATCAAAACAGAATCTAAGACAAAGTAATGATTTAGCACTCCCACTGGCTGAATGGAAAACCGATTCCCCAAATTACTTCATCGCGGCCAGTCAATATTAGAGAAAAATGTAATTCCCCTTCCATTATACATTATTGTTTAAATAATGTTAATTATAGAATTAAAGAACTATTCTGCTCTGGGTAGAACTGTCTCATTTTTTTCAGAATTGATTAACGCTGCAAGACACACCATACACATTTCACTGAAGAAGCTACAGGCTGTTTAATTTAAAAAACAAAACCAGGGAGAGGAGCTGAACTCTACAGCTGGGAAGTATTGGCAATTACTGCTGTAGGAGGGAGCAGGAAGGGGCAAATGATGGTACATGCATCATAATACAACTGTACTTGTATCAGATATTATCTCATTACCTCATCAATCCACTTGCATGATGACATTATGATACATGTTGTCATCACTTCGTCACTGTGGCTTGTTGCGGATGTCAGTGAAGCCAGTACCTGGTTTGTGAAAAACTAAGTTCGGCAAGCCCCCCAAGGCCAGTTTGTTGAGGCAGTACCCTGAAGCCAGGGGCAAACCTCAACAAAACTGTGCATCCAGGCCAGGAACGATCCACTTGTCAGGGAGATTTGTAACTATTTACTGTATGTCTGTACCATTACAAGGCAATAGACTTGAAGCAGATCTCTCACTCCTCAATGCAATCAGCAATACCATCTTTGGGCTAAATCCTTAATTCTAAGAATTCTTAATTCTTAGAACAGCATTCCCTTAAGGCATATTTGTAGAGGGAGGAAAGCATTCCCTTTGAGTCAGACAAGTCCATGCAGTTTTCTTGGTGGTGTTTTTGGAAGTGGTTTGCCATTGCCTTCTTGCTAGGCTTGAGAGACAGTGACTGGCTCAGGGCTGCCCAACTGGCTTTCATGACTACGCCTCAGGTTTCCACCCAGAGCTCCTTAGCATAATTTGTTGAAGCAGTCCAATAATGGGGTACTTAAATAAAGAAGAACATAATCCCCTGAAACTGGTAAACAGGCACATATCTATACTGCTTTATGTAAACAATGTGGTAATTCTATCACAAACACCAGCTAGTTTGAAGAGCCATGACGGCACTATCCTGCTTTGCAAGGAGCATTTACTGCAAATTATGCAAAAACTAAGAACATGCACCTTGCAAAGAGTTTTTAAAAATTGCCCTGGAGACTTGATGGAAAATCAGTCAAAGAAGTACCCCGCTTCTCATACTGTACAGGTTTTGTGATGCAATATTCAGGGAAGTCACAAGCTCATACTGCTTAGATTTCTCTGACTGCTTCAAAAAGTTCAACTGCTATCTGCTCATGTACTTCTTAAGAAGTGCTGTTTAGTCCAGCTGCTCTATGTCTGAGGCCAAATTGTGAGCCCAGCTTCTACATGGGACTCAGTAATTCTAGGCTCCAACTACGGTATGCTAAATTAGAAAGAGTGCAAACTAATTTCTTGCAAAAAAATATTCCAAGTAGCAAGACATGTTTCTAATACAACCTTACAACTGCTGAGGGTTGAAAACAAGGCTATGGCTGAGTATATTTAAATACTGGTTAAAGATTAATTTCTAACCCCAAGGCTTGACCTCCCCTATTTTATTTGACACATTTCAATCTACTTGGAAGCAACAAATTGGGGATAAAATTCAGAAATTGGGCTTTGCAGTAGAGGTACTGCTGTTGCTGGGCAAGAATAGGCCATGACAACTGTTACACAAAGAATCCTTGACATGGAATTGCAAACTGAATATAGTAAAATACGAGCTGGTATAAAAACAGTACAGTCTGCTTCAGTTCAGCCCAATACCTCAACCAGGTTACAGTTAATACATTTCATATGGCCTTTACATTGTTGTGCTTTGACATCTTGCCGTCAGCTATACAGGAGAGTAAGTTTCAAAAAATTCATTATTGTTGAAAGGACTTGCCCTTGCCAATCTGAGAACATGGAATCACTGGCCCATGTGTTACTTTATTGTAATTTCTAGAGAGAGATATGGAGCTTCTAACATCTCTCATTAGGCCATTTTCCAGATGTCCAGATGAATTCCTTTTGGCAGATAAGGACCCTAAACTAACACAAGCTGTTGCAGAGCTTGCATTTGTAATCTGTAGAACTTGTGCGTTATTAATGGCAAATTATTTTAGGGCTGATTCTTTTGACTATACTATGTACAGTAGGGTTTCGTATAAAGCACTAGAGTATTATATTGTTTTTACCCTATTTTATCATATAATATTTTCCTTTCCCCCTTTTTTATTTACTCTTTTATCTATCTTATTTTATTGTTTTAATCTAATTGCTCTGATATGTACGATACTGTGATCAATAATAAAGTAATGTAATTGAATTGAATTGACCTGAATTGAATGAACTAGTCCTATCAAGGTGAGAGAAGCAAGGTTTTGTGTAGTTACCTGAGGCGAGGTTGAATCTGTGACTCCTGAAAAATGTGGACAGGATCCTCAGGACCACTATCTTAGCCACCTGCTTATTAGAGTCATGCATCACCTGCTTGGTTAAAGCCATCCTGGGTGATGTGTGGTTGGGTCCATGTGGTAGTATTTGCTTTGTTGAGAAAAGGGGTGCTACCACCTGCCTCTTCAAAAAGCCTTCACTGGACCCAACAGTACTGGACAATTTTCATTCAGTCTCCAACCTTCCTTTTTTGGATAAGATTGTTGAAAAGATGGTTGGACTGCAACTCAGAGGGCCCTGGAGGAAATGTTTACCTATACCTCTTCCAGTCAGGTTTCATGCTGGGACATAGTACTGAGATAACATTTGTTGCACTTGCTAATGACCTCTAGCAGAGCTGAGACAGGGATAATGCAACCATCCTTGATCTTTCAGTGGTTTTCGATGCCATCAACAGTGGTATCCTTGTGGACCACCTATGGGGGTTAGATGTGAGCCACAGTACTGGGATGGTTCTCTTCCTTTCTCTGTAGTTGAGTCCAGTCGGTGTTAGCAGAATAGGAGAACCATAAAGTCATGATGTGTAGAGTATCTCAGGACTCAGTGTTCTCACCTCTCCTGTTTAACCTCTGTATGAGGCTATTGGCTGAGGTCAACTATAAGTTTGGGTTCAGGCATCATCAGTACACTGATAATACCCAGCAGTACCTCTCAATCCTGGCCTGACCAGGTGATGCCATTAAGGTCTTGTCCCAGTGTCTGGAAGCTGTATGGTCTGGATGGGGAGAACAGGTTCAGGCTCAGCCGTGACAAGACTGAGTGGTTGAGGGTATTTGGATCACCCAGGTCTAGAGATGTTCCATCTTTAGTCCTGAAGGAGATTGCGCTTCCCCCTTCAGGACTGGTATGCAATTTGGGGGTTTTCTTGGTCTCACAGCTCTTCTCAAGAAGCAGGTGGCAACTATGACCAGGAAGGTCTCGCACAAATTCATCTAATGTGCCAATTGTCCCCATACCAGGACCTCGAGGCCCTTAAGACAGTTATTCATGCTTTGATTACCTCACAACTGGACTACTACACTGTGCTCTACATGGGGCTGCCCTTGAAGACCACTTGGAAGCTGCAGGTGGTCCAGAACATAGTGGCATGGGCAGTTATGGGCATCCCATGGTACACCCACATAATATAGTTGTTTCATGAGCTGTGGTGGTTACCAGTAGGCTTCCAGGTACAATTCAAATGCTAGTTATTACCTATAAAGCCCTTCATGGCCCAGGGCCTGGTTATATGAGAGACCATTTCTTTTCTGTAGTTTCTATGCATACCATTCAATCAGACAAAGTTGGCATTCTCCAGGTCCCATTTATTAGCAATGTCACCTGATGGGACCCAGTAAGTGGGCCATCTCTATCTCAGCATCTATCCTTGGGAATGACCCCCACCCTGACTTTATTTAAATGAGGCCTTAAAACCTGGCTCTTTCCCCAGGATTTGTCCTATGGGTGAGTGGCATTCCCCTTGTGGAATAATTGGTCTGCTAGAGTTTGTGAGTTTTTTCCTGGATGTTTATGTTCTGTATTGTACTGCTTTAAACAGTCTCATATTGTATGCCGTCCAGAGTCATGATAAAGTTGGGTGGTCTATCAATTTATTAAATATATAAATGTTACAAAAACAGCAGACTAAAACGCATTTCTTTGAAAAAAAGTACTACAAATATACTTACATGAATCCATTTTCTCGCTGAGATTTTTCTAAGGTATTTTTCACCAGAGTTCCTAATTTCCTAAAGAAGAGATGTCCAGAAGGCTTTGCTGTAGTCCCTGGCCCTTTGGTTTCCCCATATTCTTTGCACAATATTTCTGCCTTGGCATAAACTTTACAAGAAAGCAATGAGTCAGTCTGTGTTCTTACTACTTTTTTGGACAATTTCTAATAGAGTGCAGTACTTCATTTTACAGTCTACTGTATTCAGTCAAGATGCATCATTGAAATGCTAAGATACATACAAGGATATTAGCTACCCAGAGATGTAGGGTAGCACAGAACATTTACATGGAAAGAGAATACCAAGCTTTGAAAAAGTATTGCTTTTATTTATGTCTATTATTAATTTTTATGCACATATGGCTCTAATATGATTTTTTAAAAATAGGACATGATCTTTTTCCTGCAGATTAGACTATCACAGGGAAATTTACCATAGTAATCCTTAGACCTCTCAAGAATTAAAGTTATGCTTTGATTTTTCAAATAAATAATTTCTCAAGTATTCAGTGGTTTGAATTTGTAGAAATGTAGTGGAAAAAAATACTTCTTCTTCTATAAACTATGAAAAAGCACTTACATTTTTCTGCTTCTTGTAGAGACCTAATAGATTCTCCACATTTATCACTGGCCAAGAGGGTCTGACCATGATAGCAATAGGCCTGGAGAAAGAAAGACTTTCTTTAATATTCTTGGCATGCTCTGGAATTACCTTAATTTCTTACCTGCTTCAGCAGCGAGGGCAGAAGAGTGAATTTCATGATTTGGGAAGGCATAGGGCTAAAAGAGAACAATTAGCAATTCTCTTGCTGCTCTGGTACTGTCCAAAATAAAGGAAGGCTGTTCCAGCTGCACTCATACACCAACAAACTTACAGGAGCAGAAGGACTTTGATATATGGCAGTTAAGTACAATCCATTAAAAAAGGAAAGTACCTGCTCTGTGTTCTCAGCTATCCCAGCATGGAGCAAAAGAAAAAGCTTCTATGCATAAATAAAAAAGGGAGGCTGTAGTACATGGACCACCTGTCTTCCACTGTCTCTTTTTCCAGTAAGATCCAACAGAGTGCTCCATGTTCCACCTTTAAAACATGTCATTTGATAGACCCCAGGATGCATGTCTTCTCTGTCCCAGCACCTGGCTTCCTAGAGATAAGAGAAGTTTTGATCCTGCTGTCTTTTAAAGGAGTACGGAAGGCCTGGCTTTTCCCCCATACTTTGGGTTAGGGGATTGGGTGCCTTCTGAATGCAACTGTATTAATGCCCTGGAATCACTATGTTTTATTTGTTCTATTGTATTGGGTTTTGTTTTTATGCCTCCCGGAACCATTATGTGTTGAACTGCCTTTGATGTATAAATGAATGAATTCTAAAAGACTTACAAAAATATTGCTTGAATAACATTGGTTGCCATTTTATATGACACTTTCATAGCATTTTGAAAATCCTTTTAAAATAGTTGTTTAAACCCTGAATACTCACATAAGCCATATAGAAACATGACTTCAACTGAAGGTATTTTCGCCACTTCATTGAATATGCTGGATCCAGACTAGATAACATTTGATCTAGGAAAAGACAGTATTATCTTTAAAATAGTAATCCATTCATGAATTTATCCATCTGCAGTACCTGCTAAGAGATTAATTCAATATTAAAGCCCTGATTAATAGCAGAAAATTGTCTGTAAAGATATGTTTGTCCATGAAACAGAGATATATAGCAAGCCATATAAGTGCTATATTTATGTTGACTTCTTGCCTTCAATCACCATAAAAAACAAAAGTAAATAATGATTGAGTAAGTTTACCTGGCAAAGCACTGCCATCTGAATCAAGCTTACTCTCAGGGTCATTTTCAATTCTTTTATCCATGGCACTTCTTTGGTGCTTTGTCTATGGATAAGATTCTATGCCTTAAAATTGATATCAAATATTCGCCAACTTTTTATTAAATAATTATTTTAACATACCTGCTCTTTGGTAGAAACTGGCTGTTTCATAAGCCAGAGCAGCTATTAGACCAGGATTGTGTTTCAGCTCAATAGCCCGGGCAATTGTCACTAAGACAGAAATGAGAGGCTGGTGTAAACATCATCTCACATCCCATTTATTTCTCTAATTACTTAAATATGGACAATGTGCTAACCACATAAACCTACTTAGAAAACAACATGTTTCTCTTTTTTTTCCTTACTTCTAATGGCTGAACAGAATTGCTGTTGTAAGAACTGAGTTGGGGCATTCACCTGTGTGAGAAGTGGGTCTCTGTCCTTGAATTTATATCTTAAATTTTTGAGGGTGGGATGGTTGTGTGAGCGCATTTTTTGGTGGAATTGTAACTGATTCTATTTCCCTGTTCATTGTATGTATAAGCATAGATAGGAAATCCCTATGGATGACAGGCAGGAAGAGGGGGATGGAAGTGCTCTAATTCATGGGAATTTATGATCTCCATGACAGACCTGGGTCTGTCTCAGATTGCCACTAGGCCAGCATACAAAGCAAGACTTCAATTTGCTCTGGCACACTGGTAGTGGGAGGTGGCCTGGATATTTGGTGGTTACAGTTACCTCATGATACAGACCCCCATCTGGTGAAGTTTGGTCTTACAGCATATTTACTGCACAGGTGATTGAGACAACACATGTTCTTAAATGCTCACAGGGAATTTCCAGGCACTAGAGCCAATGATGTTGCAAGGACTTCACTGACTTATGGAATAGGGAAATGGAAAAGGCCACTGACATCTTTGCCCCTATCCAGTGCTATGGATTCCAGGCTTCTTTTTAATGTTCTGATGAGCACTGCATGATTAAAAAAAAATGGGGAGACAGCTAAATCATAAGTAGTATAAGACTTGCAACTTGCTATGACACCACACCATACCATACCATACAATACAATCCATCCATTCAAGTTAAGTAACTGTTTTCTGCTATGTGGGGTTCTGCTTGCACTTACTTGGGAAACTGAAGCTGGTGTGTAATGTTAGTTGCTGAGTAGAGCACCTATGCATATGTTACACCTCTGTCAAAACAAATGCATGGCTGCCAATTAGCTACTGAACCAGATTCAAAGTTCTACTTCTGGCATTTGAAAATCTGGAGCAGAATTCCTGATGGACCACTTCACTGTTAGAGACCCTGTTAAATTTTTAAGATAATCAGAGATCATCTTGCCATCTGCGCTAAGATGAACAACTGTTGTGTTGTGATTACATGTGGGCAGGCTTGCACTTTGGAATTCTCTTCCCTCTGGAATTCGTGAGGTAGCTACTATTAGATAATTTATTACATTCTACTTTTCATTAATAATTCAGTGACCATGTAATGGATGCTGCATTTGAATGGAATAAGGAGCAGTGTAATACATTACATCAGGCTATGTCCTATCATTCAGTTTTCCAGTAGAACAAATTGTTTTAAAATCCTCAGAGAGAAAGCCCCCAATATTTGTCAGATGCAGAGTTAGTAACATTGCATAAATACCTTCTTGTGCTTCAGCTTGACATTGGATAATATAGGAATCTATTAGTCGAGCTTCTAAATCTCTTCCCTTTTCTACAGGAGTGATCAATTTAGGGATATGGCTTTCCTAAATGAAGAAAATGCACTTTAGTATTGGAAACAGTGGCTACATTTAATTAACTAATATAAACACATATAAATGAAGCATCCAAAGATTTATGAAAACTTACTAACGATGAAGTATACCAATATGAAAATTGCAACCATTCTATCAGATATCTATCAGTCATTTAAGAAAGGCATCTACTATGTTGCATTCAAAATCTCCTTCACTGGAAAACTTTGTTTAAGGAACAAAGATTTTTAGCTTTCTACCTGTGCAAAGAATAATGGAAAACATATGCATCTCCCATGTAAATTTTGAAGTGGAACAATTCTAAGAAGTTAGTCCATCTGTTCTTCCTGAGCTTCTGAAACTATTCTTAACCCTATAAATTAAATAATCCTTTTTAAAAGATATGTGGATCCTAATGAGCTACGGTACTAAGAGGAATAATGAGTTGTGCATGCTTCAGAAATGATTTAGAAGAAGTGTTTCAGAATTCACACATGCACTGCATATTTCTATCCATTATTTATTATTTCTTCTGTGCCAGTCTGGAAAAAAAATGCTGTTTTAACAATGTATTCAAGTCAAAGAAAATGCAACTTTTCTGAAAAAAAAAGGTATTATACCTTTAAATGTTTGAAAATCCCAGCTGCTATTTTCATACTTCGATGGACATCTTTTGCTTCATCTTCTGTTATGCTAAAGGATTAGCAGTTCATTAGTATTGCAACCTCAGGAGTTTTAAACATCATCCATCAAATTTCTTAATATTCTTGCTAGACAGGTTCTTTTAATATTTCTATTGTTTCCTCTCCTTATCTCATGTTTGCTCAGCAAATAAAATACCATATTTCTATGGAATCAGAAAAAATTAAGTAACACAGGGAACAAATGTCAGCCTCTTAGTCCATCTAACCCAGCATTCCCTAGTCCAGGATGCTGAACCTGTGATGCTCCAGATACTGCTGAACAAAAATCTGATTACCACAATACTCATTTAATCTAACTGAAGTTACTTTCAGCCAATGTCATCACTTAATTTAAGATATGTTAGGATTTGAAATCGAGATTGTCTAATTCAAAACATACATCCAAGCAACAAGTTGTGGTCTTCCAATTAAATCTAGCCAGCTCTACAGTCAGTTCTGACATGTATGTGAACAGTATATGTATGTACTACCAGAGATATCATTTGGATTCTGGCCAGTGTTTTACTGCATTAGGTATTCATTAGAAATACTTTATCAAAATGTTTTTCTTGGCATCTAAAAACAAAGACAGTGACACCAGCCAAGTTTCCTGCAGCTAGTCTGTGGCTGTAAATTTCCTACAGCTGATCACCACCCACCAAAATCAAAGCTTCTGAAGTTATCTTAGAAAAGAGGCCAACTCAGAGAGAAGCAGGCAACCCATCATGTACTCTAATCATGAAACCATATCAAGTTTTGGCAAGAATTGTGCCATCAAGTGCTACTGTTACTATATTATTTTTTTCTGTTGATTTCATGTTTTGGATGAATTTTGTAGACTGAACTTCTAAAATAAATGATCAGTTTTCTAAATACATCAACTGTTGATCCTCAGGCCAAGAAAATAGCCTTTCTGGACAGATACTGAAGAGAAGATGTCATCCATGTAGGAGTACTACATAAGGAGTATATTCCAAAATAATGAGAGAGAAATTATTTTGGAATATCTACTACTTTTACAGTCCAATATTACAATTCAACTTGGTTTACATTTCTAAGTGTAAGGCTGGGACCCATACTGTTTGACACTAAGGAAGCTGAAGACTATTCACTGAAATGGTTTTGCTCTCAATAGCAGTTTAGGCTGCAATCCTGTGCACAGTTTAGCAAAACCAAGTCCACCAATTTCAAATGGGCTCAAGGTATGTTTTTAACCTTCTGACATTATTCTAACTGAAGTGAAAATACTTACTCTTCTTTCCCAGCTAATCTTGATGCATATTTAGTATACCACAAGGCCACATTAAATCCCATAGAAACTAATTCAAACACAGCATCTTGCTGGGCACTAAGGGAAGAGGAAAAAAATATCAATCTCTTGCACCGTTTATAACACTTCTGAAGTACAAAACATTGCAATAGCTCCATTTATCTTTTAGACAAGGCACAATGCTACAAAATATCTTCTCAGAAATGTCACACTGAGTTCAAAGAGACTTGCTTAATCTTTTCCATACCCTCCTATCCCTAATCATGGGAGCAAACCTCCAAAATATTCAAATGTTTACATGGAACCTTAACAGCTTGAAAAGTGGAATTGTTTTGGCAGAAACAATTCATGCTTTGTTTTAGTCTGGGTTAAGAATGTCCAGAATATAACATTTTTACAGTTCTTCCCCCAGAATGAAAATGCAGAAGTAGCAGTCAACCAAGTTACCACCATCCTTTTAAAGGATTTAACCGAGCACTACTATTAAAATACAAACCACAGGGTTTTTTCATAGAAATGGAAACTTTGCTTGACCCAATATATTAACACTGCAAAAATAAATTTCATCTTGATTAAAATTAATTTATCTGGGCTTATACTATCACACAAGGGCTTGTTTTTAATTATACAAATCCCATGGAGATGCAACATTAAGAAGTGATCATATAAAGATTAAATAATATCTACTTCTAGGGCTACTATCTTGCCTACTGGCAGTATTTTATTAATCTGTTGTATTTGTGCCAGTATAGCCCATTAGACAATGAAAAAAGAAAAGGAAAGTCATAACAAAAACCACACATGGAGATAACAGCATGATGCAAATTAAATCAATTGCAGATTAAGATTTCAACTGATCCCATTGATAAAATAGATTTTGTCATAAGATGACTCTTTCAAAGTATGAAAAAAATGTAAGAGCTTCTTTTTAAAATTCCATAATATCTGCTTGGTAATCCATTCAGTTACGTACTATTTATACTACTAAGAACTATCTTATTTGAAAACCATACTATATGTATACCTTGGTACTTGTCCTTGCAACGTGTCTGTCCATTTAAAATTCTGAATGTATCTCAGTTTGCTATCCTGTGAAGAGTTATCCAGCGCAACTATAAAGCCTGTTAAAATAATGCCACTATTAAAACAGCACATCCTCTACAAATCAAAATGTGTTTTAAATAATCATTTATCTTCAAACTTTTCTTTATTTTTTCAACTGATAATGTGACTATTAATATAATACTTTTAATGTTTAAAATGTCCGATACTCAAAATCAGCCTCAGAGGTCCTTTTCACTTGGCTGATTTGGGGACCAGTTTTATACTACACTGCGGAGGTAAATGATTTCAATGATTTCTTTAGTTTAAGTTCAAAGTAACTGACATTCCATCTTCAGAACAACACCAGACAAAGAATTCTAGGAAATCAGCAGATGGGCCGGTGAGACAATGTACTAAGTACAGAAAAGAAAGGAAATAATGCACTCTTGTGTCAAAAGGAGTTGATGCAAATGGAAAGTCCTTCTGCTCATGTGAGCGGGCTTCCCCTATGCATTATCCCACATCATTCCAGAGGCCCTCCCAATGGCTTCTGAGGGGCAGGGGGAACAGGTGGTAAAGCCCCATTACACGGCGGAGATTCAACTCATGTTACAACATGCAAGATATATTCTATACATACTAACTGCAAAATTATTTTCCAAAGGATAATCTTTACATAGCCAAGATGGCATTATCTAGACCCTGTTGACCTTTCAGAAGACCTGGATGTGCTCCACCACAGGGGTCGGTTAGTTAGATGGCCTGTGAACTGTTGTTACTGTTGAGTGTTTATTGGCTTTATTCTTAGTAATCATTATAGGTTTCTATGCTTTTGCTATTTTTAAAAAATTGTTTTTAATAGGTTGTTAGCCACCTAAAGTTGCATTTGCAAGATGGGTGGCCAGATAAATCAACTGAATAAAAAAACAAGGGGGAAGCATCATCACATTTTAGGAAATCCAAGATTTGCACCTGTACAAAAGAATTCAAGGAAAATCCCATACAGACAAATGGGAACTGAGCATGTACAATGGCTGAAGAAGAAAAAGAAGGCGTGACGTGGTACCCTGAACAGGAACACAGCACTGAAATATCTTGTGGCTGATTGCATTTATAGTTTTAAAAATTAAAATCTGTGCATAATAAAAAGAAGAAAACGGAAAGAAAGACATGAAAATTAGCAGTATAAACCCAAATGGGCTTGAAATGGGGAAAGTTCTGAAAGGAAGAGATCTTGGCAAAAGTAGGAGCAGCTCTCTGCAGATGCAGTTTAAAGCAGTGTTTCTCAACCTCAGCAACTTTTAGAAGTATGGACTTCAGCTCCCAGAATTCAACTCCCAGCATGTTGGCTGGGGAATTCTGGGAGTTGAAGTCTGCACTTCTTAAAGTTGCTGAGGCTGAGAAACACTGCTTTAAAGTATAAGAGGTAAGGGCATATAAACCTGCTCAGTTCTTCCTTCTACAGTACATTTAGAAGATTATAACTATCTGCTATCTAAATGGACAGAAAATGCTGAAAAAACATGTGTTTTGTGGCTGGCTTGAAAAATGAGTTTGTGGGGGGAGAGTGACATATGAATTACTGTACTCATGTGGAGGGTTTTTTTAGTCAAGCCAATGCTAACTAGACTTTGCTATTTTGCCCCTTGAATTTAACCGATTTGTTTTATCTACCATGTGCTCAGGTTGCTGAAATGTAGCAGACTACTATAATTTCTCAAATAATCTGTAATACTCAAGCCCAAACACTAAGGCAACATATCACTGAAAAACCCACAATCTTCTTCACTCATTACCTTCTAGTGTATTCATAAAGATACAGCTGCACTCAGCCATCAATTATGCCTGGCATCCACTCACAAAAAAGATTGGCAGCGCTGCATTCAGCGTAGACTTTTGCCCACCCCCACAGAAGCCTCTCAGAAATAAGGCAGGAACATAGTTCTTTCTCCATGCGTGGGCATGAAGAAGTGGCAGTGGTCCCTTTGCTTGCATTGCTTTGGAGAGGAACAGAAGGAACCAGAGAAATGCCTGTTGTTTCTCTCTTCTCTCAAAGCTTCTTTGGGCTTGGTGCTTGCTGTATAGCTAAAGGAATTAATACTTTTTTGATTTGTAGAAAACTTTGGACCAATAATGAAACACCAGGCAGTATTCCCCCTTTTCTGTCCTTCTACAGTTTTCTGCAAATCACTTTCCTTTTCCTTGTGTTCTCTAGTCATCAAGACAACTCGGAAGTGAGGTAGGGGGTTGTCTGCTATGAGAGTGAAAGTGATAACAGAATTGGTGGCAGAAGGGTTTACCACTCACACTTTCCCACAATCAAGGAAAAATGTCTAACGAGAATTAAGAGAATGTGCTTTCTGCTCTGTAATTCACTCTCAGAGTATCAGGCAGGTAACCTGAACAACAAATGTGTTACTTGGGCTTTTAGTTTCCCAAGGAATGTACAGTGCATGTGTGTGTGTGTGTGTACACACACGCTCTGAAGTAAATTTGCTGAAAACAATGGAACTCTCTTCCCCTAAAAATAAGGGTAAGACTGAAATCCAATGCTGAATTTTGTACAGTTACCTGAAACAGAATCCCACTGAGCTCAGCAAAACATTAATAGGATTACACTGGAAATCTTACTTTTTATTCATACAGTTTATTTATTTGTGCTCTCAATTTTTTGTATATAATTTAAAACCTATTATACCCTACAGATTATAGAAAAGGATAGGTAAAAAAGCTACTCAAGTTTAGAAAGATAAATATAGGCTGATGGTTTTCTACTAGTTACTGCACACATTAAGTATGTTTGATCAACCACATAAACAGTCTTTGGGCCACTGATATTCTGTATCAGTGTCCTATTTCTACACAACTATGTCTTCAAAGTTCTACAGAAGGGCAAGCAACCTTTTGGAAAGCAAGGACTATAATATGGGGGAATGTCTGAAAATAAGGTAACTATGTTAGTGTGCAGTGCAACATCAATGACATGGGCTTGGTTGTGGATTTTCTATTTTCTTCCTGTTTGCCAGTGGGTGAGGACTTTTTCTTACTTTAAAAAAAAAAATCTGTGAAGCTATTTTTAGGGTTTACACTCTAGTTTTCATGTGTTTCACACTTCAAAATAGCAGAAAACTCTACTGTTATGTTTTGGTAATTGTGTCACTGAAATTTAGCAGCACAGTCACAGCAAGCTTTAGCACCTCCCCCCTCTCCCAAATAATTGATCTTTTTTTTTTACCTTCCAAGAGTGAAAAATAGGAATCAGTTGCATTTTTCATCATATCCGGATTACAACTCAAATCAGTAAAAAGTTCCAGGAGTCGTGCTCTTGATAACCTTAAATCACTATATTAAAGGGAAAAAAAAGACCAAACAGATACTTCTCAGCTGTGCATTGCTTTCTCTTATTAACTTATATTTGCATATGTTCTTACAATCACTTACTTGCAGATTTTTGTTGCAGCCGGAGTTGTGGCCACTCCATAGTAATTGAATGGGACAGGAGCTGTAGCCTTTAAAGGGTTTCGATGAAACCAATGAGTCATTCTCTTCCTACAAGATTAGAATACAGCAAGACTAAAATAAAGAGGAGAAAAGGTTATTGATTTTATACATAACTACAAACACAACATTTAAACATCTGGTCATTTAATACATTTCAGTTTTCTACAGGAAAAAGGCTAAAGCTATACACACAGATACTGACACATATATACATATAATATTTATGTTAGAGAAAGAGAGATAGATAGAAAATAAGCCTGGCCAGATTTTTAAATAAACATACATAGGATTGCCCTATATGAAAAATTATTGTATATTAGATGTGATGGACAGCACTGAAACTCTGGACTTTTAACACATGACAATTGTGTAAGAAAATCACTGGTTATAAGAATAAACAAGGTAGCTGTTAACATTATTCTTTAATAGTCAATAAAAAAACAATTAAAATCTAATAAAAGCAACAGCTATTGAATTCAATTCAATTGAAAAGGCCTAAGAATAAAGGAGAACTCCTTTAGTTTTCTTAAAAGTAGAAAGAGTTTGGGAGCAACACATGCCCCAAGAAACAAATCTCAAAAAGTGAGGGCATTCTAGAAAGGGCCTTTTCTGCTAACTTTAATGTTCAGACAGGATCATATCAAGAAAACTGGTCCCTTGGTCCCAGGCAATCCAGGCATGCTTAAGGTATGCATGATATGCTTCCAGTTAGCAGCCCAGCTGCCACATTTTTTTCTGAGTTGATGATTCTATACATCTCCTCAAGGGACACCACATCGTTCAAACTGCATTAACCAATTTGGGATATCACTTTGGCATGGATAACTCTTTTCAGATCTGACTTAAGAAAGACATACTGTGCAAATTCCCTCCTGGCCACCACTGCCTCTTGGGAATCCAGAGATGGCAGGATTTCATGGAGAAATTCTAAACCTGCTCCTTTTCAAAGCCATCCAGAGCCTTTTTTCCTACTGACAAGCACCACCATCTTGTCTAGATTGAATTTCAGCTTGTTCACCCACTTCCAGTCCTTTACTGAATTTAGGCACTGATCAAGGGAAGCAACTGTTTTCTTGGGGTTCAATGACAAGGTGCAGCACTGCTGGATATTATCAGCTCATTTCAAAGGGCATTGTGATAGGCACCTCACTCTAAAGTTCTAGATGACCTTTTTCAGCAGTTTCAGTTGATGTGATGGAATGGAATTATGAAGGCCAGACTCAGGGAGAAAAACACTTCCTTTCATCTCCTTACTTCTCTGGCATGCTACCAGGCGAACGTAGTAACACCGGGGGGGGGGGGGAAGGGGGGCGGGGCCCCTGTCCGGGGGTTTTTTTTTATTTTTCCCAAAGCCGCTTGGGGGTTATTACTTTTGGATACCTCTTTCGGCTGA